GCCATGGCAGCGTGGCTTTAAGGCCCACTTTTAAAGCAGCCTGCGTCCATTTCTTTTCCATTTATTTTATTTTATATTTTCTTTTTTTTTCCCAGAGCTTTTTCGCACACTTCGCCAACTTCCGCTTCCGGCGGCAAGCAAAGCAATGCAAACACGGCCCACGCTCTACTTTTGCCTCTCTCCCCGGCTCTATGCTCGATCTCTGTCTGCTGCTTTTTGTTTTCGCTGGCATAAAAATCATTAAACTGATTTATATTCCGTTTGATTCCCTCGTTTCCCTCGACTACGCGTCATGTGTGCCCGTCGCCCTCGCAGTCGCATTTTCTGCTGCTCTTTTTTGCTGCTAATATCCTATAAGTGAGCTGGTAAGGGGTATCTAGGGCGCAACTACTGCTTTACTCTTCCTGAGACAGGTTTTAAGGCAACTATATAAAATACATTTGTGTGGGTTTCTTCTAACTGCCATCAGATATCTGTGATTAATGATTGTTGTCCTCATATATATGGCACAGGGTATACTCGTTTACAGGGTATTTGAGTATCAATACTTCCTTTGTCTTACGCAAACACTTAAATGTTGCTGCTTGAACTTGAGTTCAAGTTTGGTAAAAGGGTCGCTCGACAGACCATGCCCACGTCCACATGACCATGCCCAGTTGCAGAACCCAGTCGAAATTCGATAATTCAAGTCAATTTCGCATGTGTCGGGGTCGCTCAAGGGTTAAGTGATTTCTTTTGTTTCTCTTTTTCCAAATGCTGCTTCAGCTAACTCCTCTTCTACTGCTGCTGCATTTAGTCAACTGTAAAATAAAGTCGCATAAATAAGCTCGACAAGCAGAAAGCACATGAAATATTTAAAGTTGTTTTTTGAAATTATTGATTTTGTTTAGAGACCCACAAAGCACATACACAATCGCAACATCTCTCGCTCTCTCTCTCTCTCATGCACCCATCCCTTGCCAGTGTTGGCTAATGCGCTGCAGGCGTTGACCAGCATCAAAAAAATGAATGCTGAACCAAAATGTTTGCACAGTTGTTGCCTCCAGTAGAGTTACCAACAAAAAAAATTCCCGCGCACTTGGTAACCCGACAACCCGACAACTCGCATCGCCCCGCACCACGTACCGTATCGCTCGCAACCAGCCGGAATGGAGCCACCTTCCGGCAAGCCGGCCGACCACCTTGAAAGGGTTGTCGTTACAGAAATTCAATTCAATTTCGTTGAAATGTTTTATTATATATGTATTTTGTTGTTGTGCATGTTGTTGCTATTGCCGTTGTCGTTGTCGTTGTCGTTGTTGTTGTCTGATTTTAATGTAATTGCCGGTAATAGCAAACACTTTTTATAGGCTAACAATTTGTTGTTGTTGTCGTTGTCGTTGGCCACGCTTAATGTTCATTTGATAATTTAGTTTTTTTTTTTTTTGTATTCCAAATTGAATTCTAATTTCATATTAATTTTCACTTGCTTTCGGGTCATGGATATTGATATCATTGCGCTTAAACTAGTGTAGGTTAAATGTTTTGGCACACAATTGCGAATTGAAATTTAAGTTGATTTTGCAGTAATGATATAGATAGCTAAATAGATAGACCTTATTTCAGCAGCTGTTAAGGGTATAGATAACCTCGAACTGTCAATAAGATTTGCCATTTTATCATGAATAGTCTCAATATGCAACGATGCGGCGACGATGCTGAAAGTTGCCAAGGACAAATTTGCGAAACTGAAAAATCTCATCATGGAGATCATGCTTTTTAATACCCATCAAGTTATATGCTATGGGGCCACTGGATATCTCAAGTTCACTATAGCAATCCCATTGCTTTAAAAGAACTCGAGGTGCACTGTTGGAAGACCCTGAATTCAAGAAGGAAACCCAAACTTGAGGCAATTCTAGCAAAGCCTAAACAGTTATTTGTATTACTTTTTATATAAAGCATGGATATATATGCACAATAAAATCAGAATCAATGTTATATATGCAATTTTTTTATTTTATTATTATTATATATTATTTTTTTTTATTTTATTATTATTACTTTTTTATTATTTTATTGTTTTACTCTTTGGCCCTCATTTGGTCACCCTGTACTTCATCAAGTTTTTCGTCTCTTATCTTTAGGTTTTCCTATACTCTTGGGCTCGAGGTCTAGGTTAGATAAAATGAAGAGCAATCAAAGATAAAACTTGACATTCAATTTAAATGATACATTTAAGACGGAGTAAGCGCCGAGCAAAGCCTGATTATTTATCTTTGATTAGGACCAACAGCAAACGGAAAGGATATTCATAGCGCAGCGATTGGTATACCCTATCAGTATACCCTGTACTCATTGAAAATGGGAAATTATTATAATATATATTGCACGCAGTAGGCGTGGCAGGCCCTATAAGGTATACAAGTCGAAAAACTTGATAAGAAAAGTACATCAAAAAAAAGTTATTCAACAGTTTTGTCCCCATAGCATAGTACATAAGCGCAGTAATCATAGCTGCAGGTGTGTGTGCAGGTGTGTGTGCATAATCAGTTTCCTCTGTATGTATTATAAAAGCGTAGTCTAATTGGAATAGCAGCTCTTCGCCAGCGTTCAGGGTATCTACCCGTCGAGCACTCCCCACGAAAGCATTCTTATTTGTTTTTTAATGTAATTGTTTTGTCCTTGTGGCGATGCGTACATCTGTAGTTAATATACTTCCGCTGCTCTATAGTTCGGCTATAGTTGATGGTAATGAGGCAGCGTCTTCGATAATTATTTGATATGCTGGAGCATGAGGTCGCTGTGCACGCAGAACTCTCGTATCGGAAACTGCAATGTTTTGTTTAGGTACATCTCTACGTATTGATTGAGGACACCTAATGTCTGCCATTCCCATTCCCATTCCCATTGTTTATCAATTTGATTATAATTGGTAATTGTTACGCGCGTCGCATATAACTTTCTACATTGATGGTTATCATCGGGATTCCAGAAAATACGCGAATACACGAACAGCAACATGTTTCGACAATTTATCAGTGAATTGCAATTTTCAAATGTCTTTCTACGACTGACTAATTGTTGACTAATGCAATTTCCAGTCATAATGTCGAATAGGAATAGTTCTGCTTCAATTTCTCCTATACAAACTGATGAAATTATTTAGCAATTTCGATAAATAGGTTAATGGATAAGAAAAATTATAAAATAAATAAAATATTATAAATAAAATAAATATTATAAATAAAATAATTAAATTATTTTATGTTCAATTTATAATTAAGGAAATTTATATTTAAATGATAGCAGTAAGAATAATATTAATAGTATGAAAGGTAATATGAATATTGTTTATTGGATTATAAATTATTTGTGCATGATCAAGTTTTGAGAATTGCATAGAAGGCAGTATTCGGTATATATTTTATTTGTTAACTCTATATATATATATAAATTTTAAGTAAGTCAATATATATATATATATATATTTATAATAATTTGTATACTCGTTCAGCAAAAAGAGTATATTGGTTTTTTTGTCATATTTATTTAGACTGTTGATTTATCTGTCGGAATGCAAAGCATTTGGAGGCCATTGAAATAAAAAAGTTAAAGTTAAAGTCCACTACAGGCATTGCGAGTCGAAAATTACACTTCTGCAAATTTAAGCATATTAATTATTGACTACCTTCAGGCAGAGTCTAGTCTATTAACACGTCAACCTCAAATCTAAGACTTCTTGATCATGCAGAATAAATCTCGCTTCGTGCATGACCAACAGCTTGACTCGTATGCCTCATATGCGACTGAAACAACACAGTTGGTCCCTTTGCTATACGAAGGAGGATGATTTTGACAGATTTATCATGAATCAACATAGATTCATCATGAGAACACTTTTGTTTATTTATTTAGACTAATTTGAAGAGTGAATCGGATGGAATACTATCTTGTTAACTTATTGAATTCGCAAAAGTAAATATTATGCAAGTCTTGCCTATATATTTATCTAACTAAATGTTGATCCACTCTATTAAGGGCATGGAAAATCGGAAAAACTATATTTTACGCAGTTTTATAGCTATGATTTCCACTTCGTCAGGATCTTTGTGAATTCAGACAGTGAACGAGTATTAGCCACGTTTTTATTGTGCATGGATATATATGAATATAGAAATATATAAAATTTAGTATGTAGACTAATGCCTTTAATCATTCATACTAAATCTAATAGTAGTCACTATTTAAGTATGATAATTCAATTTAAATCCGCGCGCTTACAGGTCGTGTGTGCGTGTGAGTTGAGTGTGGGGTATCTAATTAATTAAGCAATGGTAAATTCCTTTGATAAATTAGGAGCACTGACCACATACAGAGAGTGGGAGGCTTAGAGAGGAATGGAGTTGTGTGGAGAATTAAGGTAAGCACTCACATTGTTGCTGGCTCTGGCAATCTTGATGCCAAATTCTGAGAGGTGCTGGAGGTGCCTTGGTTTGGCCGTAAGTATCTGACTTGATGTTAATTTGTATTTGAAAGTTAACGAGAGGACAGAATCGAGTGCTCCGTTTATCAAATTTCCGACTGTGAACAATTAAATAAATGGAAAAAGAAGAAGAAGCGCAGCAAGCGATTTTTATTTCTGATAAGATATGCGAATAGCCAAGACATCAAAAACAAAAAAATCACGTACCGCGCAGCATCCCGAGCAGCAGTTAATATCAAGGTAACAACGGAAAGCAGCGCCCTATCAGACATTTATCAGAACGACATGTCGATAAGGCATCTTAACATAGTTTAGTTGCCTATCGACCTGTTGGCGGTGCTACCATATAAAAGCGACTGCCCCTGGTAACAATGTCATTTGAGGAAAGCAGCTTGTGCAATTCTTTGTACCAAGTTTCAAGCCAAGCAAACACAACAGGAATAGCTGTCCCGCTCTCCCCGGTCTATTGAAGATGAGAGCTCATTACGGTATGGAATGGCAAAGGGCACATGACAAGTCAAGGACTTAACCACATATGTTTTATCCCCCTTTAGTCCTTGCCTGCCTGGCCCTTTTGGTGGCTACCACTGGAGCCGCTAATATTCGGCCCACGGTGAAGGTCGTGAACAACACGCTGTATCGCCGCTATGTGTGCGTGAACAAGTCGAATGGATTCCGCGCCCTGGTGCCCGGCAGCTGCTCTAGATTCTACGAGTGCCAGAATGGTATCGCTACCGAGACCTCTTGCCCAGGGTTCTATGACTCGAAGGTTCAGGGCTGTGTTAGCTATAACACAGGATGCGTTGAAGTAATGCAAGTAGCAGCTGTAGGTGTTGGCAATAGCGTGGAGCCTTGTGGTGATGCAGTAACCACTACCACCTCCTGCAGTGTAACCACAACCCCGCCTTGCGACGAACCCACGACTCCACCATGTGAACCAGAGACAACCACTTGTACAACAACAACATGTACGCCACCAACAACAACCACTTGTACAACAACAACATGTACGCCACCAACAACAACCACTTGTACAACAACCACATGTACAACACCAACAACAACCACTTGTACAACAACCACATGTACAACACCAACAACAACCACTTGTACAACAACAACATGTACGACACCAACAACAACCACTTGTACAACAACAACATGTACGACACCAACAACAACCACTTGTACAACAACCACAACAACAACAACCACCTGTACAACAACCACAACAACAACAACCACTTGTACAACGACAACAACAACAACAACCACTTGTACAACGACAACAACAACAACAACCACTTGTACAACGACAACAACAACAACAACCACTTGTACAACGACAACAACAACAACAACCACTTGTACAACAACCACAACAACAACAACCACCTGTACAACAACCACAACAACAACAACCACTTGTACAACAACCACAACAACAACAACCACTTGTACAACAACCACAACAACAACAACCACTTGTACAACGACAACAACAACAACAACCACTTGTACAACGACAACAACAACAACAACCACTTGTACAACGACAACAACAACAACAACCACTTGTACAACAGCCACAACAACAACAACCACTTGTACAACGACAACAACCACTTGTACAACGACAACTTGTACGACACCAACAACGACCACCTGTACAACAACAACATGTGCACCCCCAACCACAACCACCTGTACAACAACAACATGTGCACCCCCAACCACAACCACCTGTACAACAACAACATGTGCACCCCCAACCACAACCACTTGCACAACAACCACCTGTAAGCCAGCAACAACAACCACGTGCACAACAACTACCTGTAAGCCAGACCCGACCACAACTCCCTGTATAACAACCACCTGCAGTGGAGCAGTAACGACAACAGTTTGTGCTCCTGGAAGCTCAGGCGGTAAAGCCAGACCTTCATCTGTTTATGCAAGGCCCGTAGCGAGACCCGTGAACGCTTTGCCTGCAGTCATGGATCAGCCCCTGATGCAAATGGGTTCACCAACGAATCAGCTAAGCATGAACCTCTACACCAGCTATGTGTGCCGGACCAAGCCCGACGGTTTCATGCTGGCCTCCCTGACGAGCTGCAACAACTATTATATCTGTCGCTACGGCAAGCCCCTGCAGGTGAGCTGCGGTGAGAAGTACTTCAATGCACTCAAGGGCATCTGCGATCTGCCAGAAAATACGCGTTGCATACAGCCGAGAGCCTAAGCGAGTCGCCTACCTATTGACGCACCGACCCAAGTCCAAAGCATAAAAAACGACAATTCCACCAAATTATCCTTAATTACGAATATACTGTTCTACTTATTGAAAGAGATGTATCCTCCAATATAAATACAGCAGAAAACGCAATTGCCAATATGGGCCATAAAAATGAAAAACGTAATGTCTTTTATTTTTATCCGATCAGGAAGCTTACTCTTTACAATATGTAATATGCAATTCGCATTATATGTGATCTATAGATCAAAAACATTTATAATATCAAATGTATTGTTCACCTCCGGTTCTATGAAGCATTCAAAGCTTAAAAATATTTCGTTGCTCTGACTGCAAAAGTTTATTCTTCATTATTTTACAAAGGATCCATAGGGTGGCGCAGAGAATACGTAGAGTGCAGCTTGAATCGAAACTTAGTAAAAGCTTAACTGAGCGTTTTGGAAGTAGTTGATGAAAGCACCCGCACGTACACACATACAGCTTAACTGAAAGCTTTCGTAGTAGTCATTGAGCATAACTTGTTTCACAACTTCAAAGCTCAACGAAGCGCCTTTGCTGATCCACACGTGAGCATCCACACACAAAGCCACATGCATTTCTCCTTCACCTCACGAGCCGCCTATGAATTGTGTGGAACATAAGAAAGAATTATTTTAATGGAGTGCTTATTGAGTTATTGAACTCTTTTGACTACTAGACTCAGTAGTTCACGAACTTTCTTATTAATCACAGTCGATACGCAAGGGTTTTACTTCGTGTCGAATTACATATATTTATTCACAATAATCCCGTTATTAATAATATAATATATACATATATAATATAATATATATATATATTTTATTCTTAGCCAAATATAATTACAAAATTATTTAATTAAATTACGAAAACCCAAATTAAATACATACATATTTTAAGTGTAAGTATGGGTATATTCTTTACAACTTTACAACTTTACAGTACTCAATATACAGGAATTACTCAACTATAAGCTACTCAATTTACCTCAGTTACGCATGCACAACTGATCTAGCATTCACTCAACATAAGTTCCACTTGAGTGACTATGTTAACATTACTCAGTTTATTGAGTGTTGAGTTAACACTGCAACTTACGTTCCACTTCGTTATTTAACATATCAATGACAACTAACATTTTTCAACCTTCTGATGGATTCCATTTGAATTGGTACAGAAATACATGAGACTGTGTGACTGTGTAGGCTCATGTGTGGATCATCAAAGGCGCTCAATTGAGCTTTGAAGTTTTAGAACGATTTGCGCTTTCTATGCTTTCTGTGCGCCAATCGTAATTTCAAGACTCAGGGTAAGAAAATACACATGTGAGTGTGAGTGCTTTTATTTTGAAGCTCAATTTTGCTAAAGCTCACAAAGCCGATTATGGTATACTCTTTTTTTAACATATTTTAGCCAGCATAAACTATCAAATAAACTCGTCAGCAGCTAAACTAATGCGAAACAATAACTAATTGGATAGTTCAGCCCAAATTGGGCTCATAATGTGCAAAGACTGCGAAGGTATTTTCAATAGCAAGGCAATGCAGCCGTTAAAGGCCAACTTAAAGGGATTATTTAGTCTTAGAGAACCCCAAGGAATGATACACGCACACATATGATGTTTGGGGTGGGCATTAAGTGGACAACATAGGGGGCACACCCGAAGACGCCAATGCAACATATTTTTCAAACTGACGCCGAGTTTTACAAGTATAAGAAATGTCGAAAGTATTTAAGATATTTGCTCTAGAAGTGCGTGACACTCACGCTTTGTGAGTTCGAGCCCCAGCTACAGCTGTTGCTGTCAAAGTGCCATTAAAGTCAAGCGCGCCCTTACTTGGGCTTTACAAGAATAACATAAGGGGATTTAGCTGCCCAGCAACAGCAACAACGAGAAGCAAAACTGACCGCAATGCGCTTTAAGGCTTAGCGGTCAGTTCCGAAGTGTGCTTACCAGTCAGGCCATATCTTGTTTGGTTTATTTTTTAGGGTTAGTTGCGCCGCGCAGGTTTTGTGTATTAAGGGCTCAGTTATAACAAGCCTGGCCATAAAATGGCTGACAAAAGCAGCGGAGACTAGCGTTGCCTACACTTTGGCGATAACGCAATATATTAACAAAATAATTAAGGCAAGACACATACATACACAAACGCCACGCCCACATGGCTGCGAGCCTAACGCTTCTTTTATGGTAATTTCGTAGCAGGAAAACTTTTTGGCAGCAGCCATGAAAGGGCTCAAAAATTACGACAAAAAATAAATAACGTGACACAGCATGAAAATTGCTGGCAAATAGAGCTGCCAGAGATGTGCTCTGCGCTGCTTAAGCGCAACAGGAATGCGAACAGCAAAGGGCTAAAAAGTAAAGTATCAAGCGAGATACACACACTCCCACTCTCCCACACACACGCACACATCGAGCATGACTTCTCCCTTCTCTGCGCGCCTGGAGCAGATTCGGAAGAAACAGACCTTAGCTTGTTAACAACGCATACACTGAGGCTGGTAGGCTTAAAGCCAAATAGACACCTGAGCAGCTGCACACACAGCTCCAATGAATAAAGCACAATTGATCAAGACGGTAAAATTTTATTGTTTAGAATATAACGCCATAGTTACAGATACGTTTGTCTGTTGTAAGTAGCATCTGAAATTAGAAAGAAAAATTATATTTAATAAGAGACTAAGGCAGCAATTATGAAGGCTGCTGCTCGTTGCATGCTGCGCGCTGTGCAAATTTTTATAGCATACTTTTGTGCGAAGTGCTGCTAGGGATAGGGCGCGGGGCATGGCACATGGCATAAAGCAAAGCTCAATTGTTGGCTCTGCGGGCGGTTTTGCCGGCGCTAAACTCTGCGCTAAGCCCGAAACACCCGCCAAATAAACAATGAACACAAAGAGCGAGAAATTTCGTAATAAAAAATTACACACACGCACACACAGGCCGCCCCATTGCCAACTCCACACAGAATATCTTTGGTAACACAAAACGAAATCCGCTTTTGCCATTGCACCTACACTCTGCCACGCGCGTCACGACTTTGCCCCTCGGTCCCGAAACCGGCAAGGAATTCAAATTACGAGTTTTGTTTACAATCGAGCGCCAGCCTCCTGCTCACTCAGAGCGTCGACAACTCTTTGCACACGAGTTATTGAATTGCGCGCCTTGACAGCGCCCACCTGCCGTCACAATAACCCCTACCGAACCAGCTGCGACAGTAAAATTTTTATTGGCAACGCGCGGTGCTTTGTTTCGGCTGTCAAGCAATTTTCAATTTGCCTAGCACGCGCCGCGCCCCGCCCCGAACCGACCGCCCGAGAACACCTGAGATACCGTATGGCAGAGCAGCTGAGCTTACCTTGCCGTTGATGGTTGCTGCGCTGCCTTTGCGCCAAACACAACCTGTTATCCAAGACACAACACAGGCTCGTATTCCGCTGTAGGTCCGGAAAGTGTCGGGCATGGCGCGAGCTCCTGAGTTTCTTTCCAAAGCCTAGCACGTATATAATCCGAAGGGCCAACAGGCCGGGCCAGAGGGACCACAACCTATGGGCCCGCAGCCGCTTGGTCCATAGCCACATGGTGTCCAGTTGCCCCAGGGACCGCACGGTCCGAGGGCCCCACCACAAGGACCACAAGCTGCCCAGGGACCACAGCTGTAACCACCACAACCGCCGCAACCTCCGCCACACATCTTGAGGTGATTCTTTAGTGCTGTGATCGAAACTCCCAAATCAAAAATCGAATCCAGCTTCGGACTTACTGCGCCAGACTCACCTCTGCTTCACAGAAAAAGGAACTTTGCAAAAAATGCAATATTTTTTGCCCAAAAATGTTGTCGGAATTAATTTTGTGTTATGTTTTATTGAGTTTTATCATAGTACTTTCAGTCCAATGTGGCTAAGACGAAAGTTCTATAAATAATGAAGCTTCGACGCTTCAAATTCATTTCCAAGCAGTTCGATTCGAGCTGTGCTAGTTATGGCTTGCTTGGGTAAATAATATATATATATCTATATATATATATATATATATATATATATATGTATATATATATATATATATATATATATTTCTCGCTGATATAACCAATTGTTTATAAATGATATAGATTCCCGCCATATCTAAAGACCTTGTTCTAGTGCAGAGATGTCAATGTACAACCTCAATAAATTTTTAAAAATGATTCAAAATTATTAAATATTAATTAATTAAAATATTAAATAAAAAATATATATATATATATATATATATATATATATATATATATATATATATATAATAAAAAAATATATATATTATATATAGAATGACCTTGGTCTGATGGATTAATCAATTTGTGACCACCTAAAAAGTATGCGGAATCTTAGAACAATTTTCTCGGAAACGTGGGAAAAATTTTCTACGAATTTGCAAATCAATATTCTCGGAAATTTTAGAATAATTTTCAAGGAAATTAGAAAAGAATTTTCTAGGAAACTTTGGAAGAGCTTTCTACCAAATTTTAAATGAATTTTCTAGAAAATTTTTAAACTATTTTCTAGAAAATTGTAGAAGAATCTTCTAGGAAATTTCAAAACAATTTTCTTGGAAAGTTTTAAAGAAATTTATATGAAATTTTAAAGGAAATTTCTAAAATATTATAGAAGACTTTTCTGAAAATAATTCAGCCCATTGATGAGAATCGATTATTTTAGTTAGACGTCTATCTAAATGCATATCTAAATCTATGTCTATATCTATATCTTTATCTATGTATATCTATATCTATATCTATATCTATATCTATATCTATATCTATATCTATATCTATATCTACATCTATATCTATATCTATATCTATATCTATATCTATATCTATATCTATATCTATATCTATATTTATATCTATATCTATATCTATATCTATATCTATATCTATATCTATATCTATATCTATATCTATATCTATATCTATATCTATATCTAT